TTGTTAGCATCCATGGCTACTGCTAATAACTTTACTCCAAGGTATCGACCTTTTAAATGTGCTCCGTCAACTATAATAACTGGGCGCATGCAAGTAATAAACGAATGAATCTACAAAATCATATACACAAGAAATATAATCATTTAAATGTGAAATGCATGTAACTAACAAAAATGAGTCAACAAAATTATATTGATTTACTAACCGCAGCACCAATGGCGATAAACAGCAACTCAAAGCATCCATCTCTATCTGTTTTGATATGAGTTACCGACCCAGGATTTTTCAGCTTTAAATTGTGACAATAAGCCGGCAGTTGGGCAAACGATGCTTCTGGCGACCCCCTCAACAATTCCAAGGCATAACATTTGGCTCTCCAAGCTTGAGAATATGAGATACTAATCTTGAACCGAGCATTCATGTCAGTCATAATTTCATGACCCCGATATACCCTGCCATTCAAAAACACTAACTCAGCCAGAAAACCACCCAACACCTTTTTGTTTGCCCGTCTATGGTGAGGAAAAACTTGGGTTCTTGAACATGTATGTTTATCAATAAAAGTCCTAACTTGAAACATTTCACAATCTTACATCCTCTTTGCAATCATATGCCACGTACAGTTTTTGTCAATCATACACCTTGTTTCGAAACGATCTTTGCTTGATTTGTTAACTTTTAGTTGATAGCCATCTTCCACACATTTCGTATACAAAGCTATCTTCCAGTCTTCCTTTGTATAAAAACAATCATCTTTCTTGATACGAATAATTTTTGTACAACAATCAACTGCTATTTTTACCAACTCTTCTTCCGGTATCTGAAGTAATTCTGGCATATTCCAGTTATACTCCCGTGGCATTTTCTTCATTGACTTTTCTTCGGGGATTTTTTTTTATTCTTCAGGGTTATATGAATCACAGAATGGATGTTCAACATGTTCATTCACAGTCATAACTTCCTCCTCATTATCATCAACAACATCTTCCTCAGCAGCGGCTGTTTCATCATCAAAATTCGGGTATTGACCAATATCAAAATCATTACACGCAGGGTCTGTTTCTTCTTCTGAAACATCATCAAAATCCGAGTATTGACCAAGATCAAAGTCCGGGTACTGACAAAGATCAAATTTCGAATACCGACTAGTACTCACAATTTTTTCTGTTGGCTCATCATCGTCTAATTGGTTAATACGAAAATCAGAATTTGGTGCTGAAAGTTGATTGGGATTTGGATTAGGGAAAGGTTGTGGGTTTTGAGATTGTGTTTGGTATTGGAAATGTGGTGAAACAAAATTTGCTTTGTGATGAAATTGTGGTGGAACCATTAAATTTTGAGCACCATAAACTGGGTTGAAAATCTTAGTTGATTACTACCCGCTACTGACCCAACTTCACTACTTCTAGGTTCAACAACATACAATGTAACATCATTTTACGAAACACTAATGTAACCAATGAATCGTTCAACATCTTCATTGTCGGTTAACAAATAAACTTTACCTTTTCTCTGATAAGATTGCCTAAATCCACTTAAGGGCTCTAAATTCAATTTATTTGCAACACGTAACATTAGAGTTTCATAAGTTAACTTTTTTAATGACAATTTTAGTTGAAGATTCATGGGTAAAGGCATATATTGTAAAACAACATGAACATTCTCCCATGACCGTCCAAAACACAAATCTATCTAAACATGATCAACATTAGATGATTTCATTATTGTAAATTAATTTACTAAACAAACGAGCTGCGAAACTAAAACTTGTTACCGGATGGGGAAGGATGTCGTTGGATATAGGAACGGATGTCGCCGGAGAGAGTGATAGATGGAGATGGAATGAGTTGCGATTTAGGGATTTAAGTTATGAGTTGCTTCTACTGCGTAGTTATATACCCAAAATATTTGTGTTGCGAAACTAAAACCTGTTACGAATTTGAAATTCAGTGTTGCGACAGTCAGAATCTCGTTGCGATAGTCAGAATCTCGTTGCGATAGTCAGAATCGCGTTGCGATAGTCAGAATCGCATTGCGATAGTCATAATCACATTGCGATTTACATATTCGCATTGCGATTTACATATTCGCATTGCGATAGTCGGAAAATCGCAACGCGAATTTGGAAAATCGTAATGCGATAGTCAGAATCGCGTTGCGAATCTGGAAACTGATTTGCGATACCGGAGATCGCGTTGCGAATTATCTATCGCATTGCGATTTAGTTGGTCATTTTGGCAAATCCAAAAAAAGTTTGTTAAAATCGTATATTATAAGGCATTTTTGGTCACTAAGGTTATTTTCTCTTTAAAAAATTAGTTATTAAAAATATTATCATTAGAAATATATTAAATATTTGTCATTAGATAAATAATTTTTATTAAATTAAAATAAATATAAGAATATTTATTCAAAAATAATTTTTAACTGTTTTCAAATTTTCTATTGTTTGGCTGTTTTTTCTTATTTTTTATTTTATTTTTCTACGTTGTCAAATACTTGTGCAGTAAAAAGTTAAAAAAGAAAGAAAAAATCAACCAAACACGTGTAATCTAACATATGCTTAATTAAATGTGCTTTTATTTTTCTTTTAGTAATATACAATGTAACAATTGGACTTGGGCTGGTTAATTAAAAAAATTAAAATTTGAGGGCTAAAATAGGAAAATTATTTTTTACTGACAAATATTTAATTATTAAAATAGGAAAATTTATTTAATTAAGATATAGTCATTTTTGTTTTTATTTATTTAAGATGTGGTCACTACAGGTTAACTGTCATCAACAGTTAACAAATTAAGTGACGTGATATTTTGGTATAATCACACATTTGGTCTCTATTATTTATATATTCTCTCAATTTAGTCATACTTTTAATAAATTAAAATGAATATAATCCTCCAATCAAATGATGTCACGTGTCACTGGTGCCATGTGTCATGCCACGTTTCACCATTCGGTTGGAAGACTAACTTTATTTTAATTTAATAATTTATTTTCCACCAATTTACTTTGCTTTGTTAAATTAAAATAAAGTTAGTCTTCCAATAGAATGATGACACATGACACGACATGTGGTACCAATTATAGTGGCATCATTCGATTGGGCGATTAAATTTATTTTAATTTATTGAAAGTATGACTACATTGTGAGGATATGTAAATAACAGGGACTGAATGTGTGATTATGGAAAAATATTTAACTGCAGTTAAGTCGTGTGACCACATCTTAATTAAATAAGAACGAAGGTGACAATATCTTATGTATTTTGAAATCAGTGGCCAAAAGTGGACAAAACACAAACATAAGTGATCACTCGTGTAGTTAACCCTTAAAATTTTTATAAAATAATATTTAAAATTAAAAAATATTTATAAATTGATATAAAATAAATAAATAACCATTTTAGTAAGTTTCTTTTTTTTCAGTTGATTCAGTTTGATACATAATTAAAATTCAAGAGTTAAAAGAAATAAAGAAACCCATATCTAACAAAAACATAGTTTCCTACGACATATATTTCTGATTTTCAAGAGTTAAATTTTGAAGAAATATGTTTTAGAAAGAAAAAACTCATTTCACACCCAACAACAATGAGCTTTAAATGCTTACATGTACAAAGCACGAACAAGGGTGAGCGTTCGAACGAGACGAGTTAAATTGAATCAAAAAATTAAGTTATTCGAATTGACGACTTATTTTATAACTCAAAGTTGATTTGAAATATTTTTCAAATAAAATTTCTAAAATTCGAGTCAAGTCAAATTTTTAAGTTTCTTTTTAAATTCATTGTAAATATTTATAATAATATAATATCATTTGATTACAATTTAAATGATTATATATATATATATATTCATATTTTTTTCATATGCGATATACATATATCATAAGAATCAACGGACTCGACTCAAACTTGAAAATCAATGTAATAATTATTAAAAACTTCGAGTTTTTCGAGTTGTAAAATACAACTCGATTTAAACTTAAAAATTTTTCTAGTTGAGTTTATGAAGTTACAACTCGAAGTTAATCCGAGTTGACTAAAAAAACTGGTTTTTCGAATATAGTCGAGTTTTGCTCGACTCTAATTGATAGGAAAACGCTAATTAGTGATAACAAAACAAATCACATTGAGGGAACGAGTTCAAACCTTGGACAAAATGGCAACAAACCCACAAGTCATTGCATATACCTACAGTCCTCATATACAGTTGCATAAGAAATATCAGATTATTTGGTATTTGGATCAACATCATAACACAAATCGACATAGTCTCGTCATCTAAACGCATTAGTATAAAATGAGTGACGTTCCGAAAAACCAGTAAGACTGATCATTTAAGATACGAGTGTGCCTTCCATGAATGCCACAAATCTGAAGAAAAGTTCTCTGTACAAAGTATGTTGTTCATACCTCCAGAAGTCTTATGACCATGCAACACTACCAAACTGATCCAACACTTTCCAGCATACTGGAATTTAACAAAACCAAAAACCAAGCTTCGCATGCCACACCAATTAATGAAATTAAAAATGGTTTTTGCCTTTCAATTCCCATGTCCCTCCTAATTCTTCTTTTAGGTTCCTCCTGCAAAATATATAAACAAAAATGTATCTTTTAGACGGGGATAGACGTATAACATGAAGCAAATACCATAACCAACAATTGATGAAAGCCCCATTCGGACGTGTTATACATATTGACAAGAGGGTTAGCACCCCAACTTGCATTACCACAACAAGAGTAGTTTCAATTGTAAAGGAGTCATCTCAGTTAAAGTCACTGGTTTCTACAAATGGCTCATTATAGATGTTTAAATTTGTTCAGCAATTAGCATAGCTTGCAACAAAGTTTGAAGTATTTTATCGTTTTCTTCTTCCTTTTACCTTCTCTTTCCTAGGAATAAGAAAATGGATAACTTGGTAATCATATTATTTCCATTTCACTTTTTTTTTTCAGTATTTTATCTTCTTCCTATTACCTTCTCTATTCTTCTTCCCTCTTTTAATACTCTTTTTTCCTTGTTTGTGAGCAAGCCAGCACCACAACCTGCAGCAGGACAGGCTAGGAGCTGGTAACAGATGGTGTCAATTTGGCCAGATCTCATGCCACATAGTGCCAATCTGGATCATAGAGCCCGGATTGACACTGGCTAACTTCCCCAAGGCCTTGGGGGTTGAACATTGGATTGGTGCCAGCAGCTGAGGAGGAGAAAACAGAGAGGAAAAAGAGGGAGAGGAAGAAAATTGCTCCCCATCTCGACATTTTACTTTTCCTTTTTCTGACACCATTTTGTCAAATCATAATACTTATTAGTGTTTTTTAGGGTTTAAGGCATATTCCATCAAATAGTTCTTTTGTTTGTATATTGAACCAAATGAAAGTGATGTCATTGAATATTGGCTCGAAATGGCATATTTGGTATCTATCCCTAACAATTAATTAACAGCTGCCTTCCAAAACATCAATAAGCCAAAAGAAAACAACAATAAAAATAAAGCAGGAATTTTAAATACAAAAACCAACAAACCCTATGCCGAAGCCATAAAGCCCATTACAAGCCTTCTAGAGCTGCAATTCAGAAGGGTGAAATAATGTTCAATCATAGCAATGATAATAAGCAATAAGGCTTTCTCATATTTGCAAAGTAAATATCTAAGCATGCATACAAATATTTATTTATTCTTGATCCATTAAATGTACATAATCAATTTTGCAAGTCATTAGATGTTAACATAGGGAACAATAATCATCTATATAAACCTCTTAACACTTCTTGGAACCATACTTGGCAGTTAGCACATCAACCTCTTCCAAATCTTTTTCAAATTCATCAACTAAGACCTCAAATGATCAAAAATCACAAAACAACCTTTAATCTATAGACTATAATAGAATATATATTGAATTAAACTTTCAATTGCACCAAAAACCTTAAATCAAGCATTTACACTCCTATTCCAATGGCTCCACACTTGGTCAAGTAAAGGCTTTCAAGCAATCTACATGTACTGGTTCGTATATTATTAGTTCTCATTTCTCAACCAAAGCTGTCACAAGTTACATGAAAACCAGGAAATGAGAAGATTCTCATCACCTCACTTCCATGTGAAGGAATCCATAATAAGAAACCTTTTCAAGCACCAGGGTGTTGCAACTCTGCAGAACCAAGACACCTCAAACCATACCACCTATCTGGTCTAACCTATCAAATGCAAGCACTTTTACTTTCATTTCATTTCCTGTAGTTCAGGAACTTACAAGAATCCTTCAATCCCAATGATCAAACAACACAGCAGTATGACAATTTTAACTATGAAGGCAATAAAAATGTCACCTTTAAAAAATATCCAGAAATCATTACCAAGTTTGCATACGTACAATCAATATAGTTAAGTTGCAGATATGGAATAATCCACCAACCAACAAATGCCCTAGTTAGGTCTGTGATCATATGTTTTACCTTTTTCTCCAAGTAAAAAAGGCTCTCTATAAGTCAATGTCTTGGTGTTTGATCCTAAGAAAGATCCGTGAATCCCATTACAATTAATTTAAAAAGTCCAAACTAATGCATCAGACATAGATCTTTGGTGCACCCACCATTACTTCAATTGTATAACTTGGGTGAGAAACCATTCATGCTAAGAAATATTGAATTAGAAGATAGCTGAAAAGAAAAAAGAAAACTAGAAATTTGCAGCTGGTTAATTGTCGATAAAAAACCTTCAAAATCTGATCCATAGGCTAGCTTCCAAAAGCTTTTCTTATTAGTCTGGTGTGATTACAAGGTAGTATCTGTTCATAATTCTTCTTAGCCTATTAACAACACACAAACCCTCTGTGCTAAATATGTATGCAAACTGAGGATCAGCCAAAAATCGTTTCTGAACAGTACCTAAAATCTGTCTATGTACCTCTAAATAGGCATGTTTTACACGGTTCCGAGCAAAGTGAAAGCCACCAATAATCAGTTTTCAATTAGATCTCCGGTGTGTGTTTCAGAATTAACAAATAAGCAGTAGGACCATCCAAGATTTGCCACAGAAAGGGACTCCTCCCAACCAGATCCTGAATCCCTAGCAGTTCCTATCCCCTATACCCCCTATGTTTTTTTTATAATAACGAAGCTTGTAAGTTTCCCATTCTGAATAAGGATCCATTCACCTAAATAACAATTTATGGGAACCTAAAAGTTATGAAGAGCAGGACAATTTGAAGAGCTGATAATTTAGTTAAAAGAAATTATGCTTGAAAAGTACGTATCGTTAGAAACAAAAGTTCGAAACGAATAAACGGCAAGAAATAAACAAAATTCTCTTCAATATACCAATCTACAAGCAAAATAACATCATAACGCCAAAAATCCAAGTAGTATTTCATCCTATTTGATTGTTGTCTTATGTAAACAAAAGAGAGAAAAAGAAGCTAAGGGAAAGAAGTGAGATTTGGGGGATTGGGAAGGGAACTAACCAGAGATGTGGGTTTGATTGGAAGAAGAAGAAAAAAATAACAATTGAGATTAGCCAACATGGAAGGGACCAATATCACCACTTCTGAGAGAGGCAGCGACTTCATCGGCAATCGTCAAGCAAGAACAAACCCATCCACTTAAAGCTATCCACACCATCCTTGCCATCTCTAGAGCCACGCCAAATGGCATCACCATTTCCTTTTTTTCTTTCTTTCTTTGAAACAAGTAAATATTGTTGTGGGTTTGAGTTTTGTGTATCAATCAATTCACCCTTCGGAGGAAAGAAATAGAGGAGGTATACAAGTGAAAGTTGAAGGCAACACATATACTACTATGCCTATCTTTCCTTTTTCATTTCTCCTTATTAATTAATTGGGTAAAGTACACATTTAGTGTTTAAACTATCACTTTTATTCTGTTTTAAAACCTAAACTTTTAAGTTTTTCAAAAAGCTTATATATACAAAAGGTGTCCAACGTATGTATTTGGTTCTAATTTAGTGTCTAACTTTCATTCTGTTACTTATTTAGGTGCTCGTGCCATCAAGGGTGTTAAGTTTGATCGTTAAGTGATATGTGTCATATAACCTAGTAATTTTAAAATTTAAAATTAAAATTATATATATATTAAATGCTTAAACGTCAAAAAGATGCCCAACATATGTATTTTTTCCCAGTGCCTAACGTTTTTTTTCGTTCTAGTTTGGTGCCTAATATTTCATTTTGTAACTTAGTTTGGGTTAGGCCATGACGGGCCATTAATTTCGGCCGTTAACCCATTAAAAATACCATGTGACATGTTTTTAATATTAAAAAATGATTTACACTCTCATCGTCCCTCAGTTTCTCCTATTCCCTCTCATATTTTCTCTTCCTTGACCCAAAACAAAGGTGATTGAAATGAAATTTAAAGTATGAATCAATAAATTGGGAATTTGCAGTTGTAGATTGAACTCCATTCAAGCTCAACCACCCAATTCATAAACATGAAAGAAAAGTCACTGATAGATAATAACAATAATGTTAGAAAATTGTATAATCACAAGTATTAGAGTATAAATAAAAATGTAAAAAGGAAGTGATATAATACTTGATGATTAATATACTAACACATAAGAAAAGGATTTGGCATCACCTTAGAAGAATATTTTGACAGAAATCATTTCAAAAGTAAAAGAAATTTATAAAGCTAATATATGAAGAAGGTAATGTCACTAGAAGAAACCTAAAAGGAAAAAAAGAACAAGGTAAAGAATTTGAAACACCGAAATGTTGTTTTATGGGTGGAATTTGTCTCTAAGAAATTTGAGAATGAAAAAAAGAGTTGATTTTAACTCGCAAGTAAAAAGATTATCCCACAAACCAAACAAGTATTCAAAGTTAATTAATTTAAGAAATATTTCTGAGAGTATGAAACTAAAAGCATGAATGAAACATCAAATATCCATTCATCCATATAAATTAACAATAAAAACCCTTTAGAAGGGGAGCCTTTTTTAAAAGTTCAAAAACAAATATGTATGGTTTTAAAAATAAACAGATCAATACATAAAAAATCCTAATTTTTGAAACTAGAAAACAACATAGTGAAAAAAGATTCCTCAAATTAAAACAAAACTCTTCTGAATAGAGAAAAAAAAATCAAAACATGGAAAATAATAAAAGCAAGAGAGAAGAAGAAGAAGAAGGGGTAAATGAAGTCAGAAACTCTTCTTGGTATTGTGACATTGTAAGCGGTGATAACCTTAGTGGTGGGATTTGCTGCCTTCGGTGAAGAGGAATGGGAAGGGGAAGAAGAGAAAGAGGAAGAGAGAGAAATAAATTATTTTTTATTTTAATTAATTTTTTATTTTCATAAATCATTTTTAAATATTAAAAAATATGTTAGGTGGCATTTAATGACCAAAATTAACGGCCCGTCGCGGCCTGACCCAAACTGAGTTACAGAATAAAATGTTAGGCACCAAACTAGAAAAAAGGCATACGTTGGGCACCTTTTTGACGTTTAAGCCTTTTTAAAAAGAAAACACAAATTTTGAAATAACCCCAAAACTTTAAAAACTTTTATTTCAACCCTAAACCCATGTCGACCTCCACCTTTTTCCATCGACGAAGCTCCACAAAACCTCCATTCCCCTCGACGATAAAACCCCTCCACAAATTCTGATAGCTAATTAACCGTCGATCAATCATGATTTCATGGGGTTTTCTTCGTCGAGGGGAGGGGTCGGGTGGAGCTTCATCGACGGCAAAAGTCGATGACTAGCGTGGGTTTAGGGGTTGAAATGAGGTTTTTAAAGTTTTGGATTTATTTCAAATTTTGTGTTTTCTTTTTTAAAAAATAAATATATAATTTTAATTTTTAATAAGATTTTCAAAATTACCAGGTTGTAACACGTGTCACTTAATGGCCAAACCTAACAGTCCGTCACTGCTTGACCCATTTTGAGTAACGGAATAAAACGTTAGGCACCAAACTGGAAAGATATAAACGTTAGGCACCAAACTAGAAAGATATAAAAGTTAGGCACTAAACTGGAACCAAAGGCATGCATTGGACACCTTTTGTATATTTAAGCATTTTCAAATCCATACCTAACGTTTACTTTTTGTTTCATTTTAGTAACCTATCGTTAAAACTTTAGGTACTAAAATGAAACAAAAAGTTAACAGCGGGACACTAAAATGATACAAAAAATTAACAACAGTACTAAAATGAAACAAAAAGTAAACGTGTTACGTATGATTTTTAAAGAATTTTAAAGTTTAGGTACTAAAACAAAATATAAGTGATAGCTTATGTAACACCCTAAACCCAGTTGAGCCTAAAGTGTCATATTGGGCTACCAAAGCAACCCTTGATTTTCAAAAACATGTTCATTTTCTTTCCAAACATTCTGAATGGTATTATAATAAAACATAAATAACTTTTATAAAACATTTTAAAAAATCGGAGCTTCGTGACACATAATTTAAAATCAAAATAATACAAACTCTTAGTTTAATAAACTGAATACATAAGTAAGGTTCTTTGAATACATATGCCCATTGAGCTACGATACAATACTCTGAAGGAGATACTGGAAGTCTTGCTGCTATGGTGCTCCACGAGCTGCTCATGCTACTAACCTGCCAACAGAAAACATTCGAAGTCTGGGCTTACAAAGCCTAGCATTATAATTGCTAATCTAGAGCAACATAAGAATTTCATAAACACAAGCATGCTAAAGACGTGGTACTTAGCAGTAGATACATGCATGATATAGATCAAGACATGGTACTAACCAGTAGGTACATACATGATATAGATCAAGTGCTACCTACATAAGGCTTATATGTCTTAACACTCAAGTAGGGGTCTCATGCATCCTTAAGTCCTTGGCTAATGGCTTAGCCATGAGTACACCTCTAAAGGGTCTCTAACCCTACTGGTTGTATCTGATGTGCATTGTCTAAATGCGATATTGACGCTCTTGTGCATTATATGAATGCAATACTATCTCTGTTATGCATTATCTGAATGCAATATTGTCTTTGTTATGCAGTATCCGAATGTAATATTGACTCTATTATGCATTATATGAATGCAATACTAACTCTACTATGTATTATCCAAATAAAATATTAACTCTGCTAAGCATTGTCTGAATGCAATGCTAATACTACTATGCAACACACAAGATGTGGTTGGTATCATGGTACGACTGAGGGTTCTGCATCTCAGAGCTCAACACCCCTCTAGTCTGTCTGAATACCCTCGGGTGCCTAGGTGAGATCCGGAACTACATCAAAAGTGTTCGCTTGGTCGTTTGGGTATATGGGGTGAGATATGGAGCTACATAAGAAACGTACACCGCGCCAACTTACTCCGTCGAGTTTCGTGGCATCTGCACCCAACTGGAAAAAGAAGTGTCGTGGCACTGACTGTTATATACCTGGACATATTAACAAATAAGACAATCACCCTACTGCCAAAGTAACTCGGGTGTCCTGACTGTTTCCCTAGTGTCACACAAAGGTTAGTTTTATGACAACCTAGATGTTACTATTTCTAGTTGTTCTGAGTTATTACTGTTCATTACTCACATTAGCTGCTATCTTACTCATTTTCTTGTCTAGAACGCTAAGCGAGGCTTTATTGGTCTGTTGTTACTCATAATCTATATTGAACTAGTTGTTTATTGATTGCCTCAGGGTATGAGGGGTCGTTTTCTTCTCGATAGGAAATAATTAAATATTATTAGATTTTATTTTAAAATTCATAATTTGTTGTTTTATGGGATCATAAGTTAAATTAAACTCGAATTTGTGATTTTCAACGCAAAGACAAATTATTAACCAACTAAGTATCGATTTAGGGCACTGTGGGGGTGCTAATCCTTCCCCACACGTAACCGACTCCTGAACTCGAATTTTGGTAACACAAACCTCAAATCTATTTTTTTAATTAAAAATAATATTTTATTAAAATGACAAAATATGTTTTTTGGGTGCCCAATCACACCCTAATCAAAGATTGGTGGCGACTCCTCGAACCATACTTTTTTATTTTTAAAAGGAATCCCAAATTTTTCGAAACGAGAGATTTTTTAAATCACATTACTTTTTAATTAAAAACTAATCATAAAGAGATAATTAAAAAATGGTGTGTTTTTTAAAATCGCCATAAAAAGAAAAAATTATTTCAACAATAAAGTTTAAGTAAGTTTTTGTTTTTCTCACTGAAGTTTCAAACGTTACAAATTGGTAATTGGCGTTGTCGATTTGTAGTAAAATTATAGCTCTATCGTCATCTTGGTTAAATTAATGATGTGGAAACATTAACGAAAATGTTAATATTTAGTTTTACCCTAAACTATTGCTAAAACATCAAATAAGTCCTTAAACAATATCTTTATATCTAATTTACCTTGAAAACTTTCTAATTTCCTTTTTTACAAATTCCCAACACCACCACTGCCGTAATGAAGCTTTTCGACTTTATTTATGATGCTTGATATGCACCAATTTTGTTTGTCTCGCAGTGAATTCTTATCAGTACATCTTTTTTTTTTGAAATTCTTATTATTTTTCTTATTAATTTAAAGTGATTACAAGTGATAGTATCTGTTTTAAAGACTCTCAACCATTTGACAGTAAACGCTCAAGTACTTTACAGTCGTTGGTGCTCAAACTCAAGACCTCCGGGGATAACAAAAATCTCTTTAACCACTGAGGTAACTTTATCATCTTCATCAAATTGGGGTTTCTTCACAAATTTGACAAATTTAATTGTTTTCTTAGCATATTTTT